TTCTATGAATATAAGACTTCTTTGAATTCTCTCACCACTATTTTAGCTTTCAATATACATATCTTGCATACATTTTGTCAGATTTATAGCAAAATTTTTCACTTTTTTATCATACTATCAGTGACACTTTTTCAAAACTACTTATATCTAGTATGTAGAATTAAAATTCACTGTTACATATTCATGTTGTATCTTGTAACTTTGCCACTTTTTCTTTCATCAACACCATGAGGTTTTTTTACATAGCTAACCAAAGGTATTTACAAAGTTTCATTTGCTCAGTCAGAAAAAGTGTGTTGTGATCTTTCTCTCTCTTCTTTTTTTAATTGCACAAATCCCATTACAATTATTCTGTGTAATTCACAAGTTCTATACCCATGGAATCAACTAACTGCAAATAAAAAATAATCAGAAAAATAAACTACATCTATAGTGAATATGTACAGGTTTTTTTTTCTTGCTACAATGCATTGTTTACATTATTCTAGGAAAAAGCAACCTAGGAATGACTTGTAGTACACAGGAGGATATGCACAGATCCTGCATTCTATGCAAAAAGAGAGAACATCCATCCACTCATTCACTCCACTCCCCAAATGACCACAGCAGTGCGGGCTGAGCTAGTCAGAATCCAAGAGCCAGGAGCTTCTTCTGGGTGTCCCATATGGTACAGGGTCCCAAGGATTGACCCAGCCTCTGCTGCTTTCCCAGGCCGTAAAGTAGGAGGCTGAATCATCAGCAGAGTAGTCAGAACACGAACTGAGACCATATGGGATTCCTGCAAGCGGAGCATCAGCCTGATCTGCCACCTCACTGGTCCCTTGAAAAAACACCATCTGATAATCTCAGAATTCAAGTAGTATGTTTAGCCCAGTTGTAACTAATGTAATCATTCACCCCTTAAATCTAAATCATTTTATCTTTAATTTATTTAATTTTTCTCTGTTTTTCACTTTATTGCTTTGTTTTCCTTCCTTTCTTTTGGATCATGTGAGCATTGTTCAGGAGCACTACAGAAAGCAGGATATAGGCACAAAATCATCCTGCAAACCACCCGGATGTAAGATGAGGGGCTAGCAGTGAGTGCAGCAGTGCAGTGCAGCACGTTAGCCCGTAATCTCAGCATCCCATAGGCAATTACTTCATGTACTGGCTTCTCCGCTTCTGATCCAGTTTCCCGCTGACATGCCCGGCAAAACAGAAGATGGCCTAAGAGCTTCAGGCCTGTATAAAACTCAGGGCCTAACCCAGCCACGAGAAGATTGTGAATGTGTATACTGTCTCTCCCCGACTCCCAACTCTGCCTCGGTAACTCTGTCTTCCAAATAAATATTTTGAAAAAGGTTAAAAAGGCAGATGTTTTCAATAATTGCCAGCATCCATACAGTGAGAACATGCTACAGTAAAACAGAAAGAACAAGTAGAGGAAAAAATTCAATAGAAATATCTGAAGATAGAAGATACAGTTAACCAATGTCACAGAAATAAGAAAGAAAGAAAGAAAGAAAGAAAGAAAGAAAGAAAGAAAGAAAGAAAGAAAGAAAGAAAGAAAGAAAGAAAGAAAGAAAGAAAGAAAGAAAGAAGCCAAAAGAGATAGGGAAAAAAACTAAGACAAAAAGGTGAGGATTCCAACAACACAGCAATGTGGTTACATTCAGCATCCTGATAGAACAGGGAATGAGAGGAGTGGCAGTGAAGTGGAGAGTGGGTATTACTGGCTGCTGCTAGCAATTTTTACAGTGAGAGAAAGTAGCAAAAGCAGAAAGACTGGGAAAATTCTCAGCTGCAAGGAAGTGAAAGAAGAAAAATTTGCTGCAGACAGGAAAGTGAGGCAGAGAAATTATTTGCCAAGGGGACAGCAGAAAGAAAGCCTCCCCAGGGCATTTCGGGTATCTCCTACCAGTGCCAGGGGATGCCCAAAAGTCCATATCAGTTCAAGGATTTCAGGATGGAATCCTTCCAGCAAAAGAGCCCGGGGCACCCTGCTCATGCAGCTCTGCATCCTGGCCTGCTCAGCAGGATCCAGATGAGGCTGGCTGTGCAGAATGCTCCCACTATTTCAAAGGGCAGCAGGGAAGCCAGGCTGCTGGACAGGCGATGTGCAGGGAAATCGTGTTGGATAACAGCAGAGGAGGCCCGAGGTAAGTACAGGTACCAGCCATGTGTGACACCTGGTGAGGAGAGCTCCATGCAGTGCAAGGAGAGCCTGGGAAAGCCCACAGCTAGAGATGCAGCCTCCAAGAGCAGGCCAAGAGGCAGAGACCAGGAGGGCAGAGGAGGCCTGGAGCTCTCTCCCTAGATTTCAAAGGAAGCTTTGGACAAATGGAGAGGAGGAGTAAAGACAGAGACTGGTGACAGGGCCAGTCACTGCGAAGCAAATATGGTGGGCTCAGAGTTGCCATAGCAGAGTCCCCCGCAGAGCAATGGCCATGGAATACGGAGAGCAGACCTCGCAGTGAGGACAAAGTCAATGTGGTGTGCCCAGACCATCAGGCCGCTTCCATCTCCCCTTTCCAGAACGCGAAGGTCATTGGCCAAAACAGATGCAGCCGTTGAGGCTGTTTGGGGAGTGAATCATTGGATGGAAGATCTTCCTCTCTATCTCTCCTCCTCTCTGTATATTTGACCTTTCAATAAATATAAATAAAAGTTTAAAAGATTTTAATTAAAATAAAAACCACTATGCCATTAGTGTTTTGAGAGAATATAATTTTCCCTCTAGTACCCTGTATTAACCAAAGCTTTGAATTAGGTGGAAAAGCAAGAAGGAATTTTCGAAACAAGTAATCTCTTTATCTGCTACAATGCATGTCACTATGTTTTACAACAGGCCTGGCCTCTAGGCCTTCAGCTAAGATCAAGTGTAGCAACTAGGAAAGCACTTAGAATTACTATTTATGTTACATCAGAAAGAGAAAACTCTTCCACAACAGGGAAAAAATGTTCTTAAGATTTTGAAATAACTACAGGAATTAAAACAGGCAAACAAGAAAAATGTAACTGCAGTCCATCAAGACTTCAGAAAGTTCATGGAAAAAACGGAATTAAAACTTACGATCATTTTTCATGAACTTTGCACAGTCATAATGTAATTATTTGCTAATTTTTCAACTGTGATCACTAAGATATAAAGAGATTAAAGATTACCTAAGAGATTGCATGCATTTTTTCATGTGTAGGCCAATATATTTTTACTTAGAACAATCATCAAACACTGGATGAAATATGGCTTTTGCGATGACCTGTGAGAGCTTTCAACTTACCATATTGAGCGTTTAATCAATACTTTTTTACTCCAAAGAACACTTGGGTCGACATAGAAGTTATCTTACATCTTACATTCTATATTCTTATACTTCATATTCTTTTATATTTTTAAAAGTAATAATTAGAAGCACATCATTAAGTTTAATATTTTTAGTGCTAACATGAATATATATATATGCATATAAATCCTCAAATAAATTCACCTTTGGTATCTAAAGAGTACAGATGTATGGCAAAGAACTTTACAAACTCACCGTTTCTCAGACAAAATGATGCAATCTCAATGTGCAATTCAAGTCAAACAAAGGGCCAGTTTGTCTAACCTTTGTCTAACCTGTCCACTGATAATCCAGACCGAAAACACTGAATCCTCTCTTACGGGAAGCGCTAAGGCAATGCTAATCTCAAATATTTATGTTGCTAATTTCAAATATCTACTTATGTTACTATTTTAACTAATTTAACACCTACTTTTTTTGCTCCTGAGACTTTTTTAAAACTGCCAGATAGAGGTAATCCTATCTCACAATGTTGCTGTAAAAAGTCAAATGAAATAATAAATTATCTGATATATGGTAATTGATCAAAAAAGGGTCAGTTCTATTCCACCTTTTGTTATATGCATCATGGCACAAGGGAAAACCTTAAAGTCAAACTCAGTCATTCTTTGAATAGTTAAATACTGAGTTCCAGGTACAAGCTGGGCACATTCTAAACAGAAGAGAGCAGGTGGGAGGAAGGGAGGAAGAAAGAAAGGAATGAAGGGAGGCAGGGAAAGAGACAGGACGGAATGAAGGAAGAAAGGGAGGAAGGGAGGGAGGCAGGGAGAGAGGCAGGACGGAATGAAGGAAAAAAGGGAGGAAGGGAGGGAGGCAGGGAGAGAGGCAGGACGGAATGAAGGAAGAAAGGGAGGAAGGGAGGGAGGCAGGAAAAAAGGAAAAGAAACAAAACAAAAAAGAAAAGATAGTAAACTGCCTGCCAGATGTCAATAATCTTTATAAACCCACAGTAATTAAATGCATTTTGGTGCAAAAATTTCTGAAACCCATGCATATGAGGGGTTTTTAAAATGTTCACCAACACTGTACATTATTTAAAAGTATGCATAGATTTCAAAACTTTTTTACATCAAAATAAGCTTCCCATGAATTTCTTAAAGTCCCCTTGTATATACAAACTTGGCCAGATGTCAAAAACATACATGATCTGAGTCTGTAATAAATCATACATGAGAAACTTTATAATATACAAAACCAATGTTATAGATGTAGAATCATGCATTAAAATTATACTAAAAACTTAAAACACATTCACAGTGGATGAGATTAAGTTTAGTAATGTTTTGTTTTATTAAAAAGTAACAGAAAATACAATATTAATCATTCTGAATAAAGGGTTGATGAATTTTCTAGATTTGTTTTTAAAATAGTGAAAATCACCAACAGCATAATTCAGCTTTATTTTTACCTACTTAAACATGAGTTCCTCATGCTATCGAGATTCTAAAAAAAGGGACTAGATTGCAGGTCATGTCAATTTGCTAATAACATTTACAAAAAGAAGAATCAAATGACAATGTATCTCAGGAATAAAGACTTACGGTCTTAAACATTCTCCATGTAACACTAAAGTGGAGGTCAATTTCCAATGGAAGTGATAGCTTACACATCACCAAAACTTACTGGAGCACTGGAAAAGTGATTAAGCTGCCAAGCCCTAAGCAAGCCACTCACCTGTGTGGGTTCTCCTGTGTCTCTGTAGCTCGTCACTCCTGGTGAATCTCTTACCACAAAACATCCAGTTGCACACAAAAGGTCTTTCTCCAGTATGCCAGCGGAGATGCGCTCGCAGATGAGATGTTTTGCCATAAACTTTACCACACCCTTCAATGTGACAGATGTGCTGCTTCTTTTTTCCTGGTTCATTACTGCCTCTGACAACAACAAAGCCAAATATTAATCACATGCCCTAGCAGCAAGCTCATAACCATGGGAAAATAAAGGGCACCGGGCGAATGAATTGACGCCGTGCTGAATGAGTTTCTTGATCATGGTGCCACAACCTGAGCTACAATCAGAAAACCTTCTATTAAAGGACAAAAAGCAGGCCTGTATACCAAGCACAAAACATCTCTTGCAAATGTGTTTTCCTCAGAGAATTACACTTTATGATCGACTCATGTGAGGCTCTTTCTTGGGGAAGAAATCATCTCTTTCAGCTTTTCAAGACCCTTCAAGATTTCCCTCTGATAGCCCAAAAGACAGTGACCCCCAGTGAAAAGTGTGAGGTGCAGAGTTGAACTGCAGTGGTCATTGGGAGGAGTTTCACTGCCCTGTTTCTCATCGAAATGGATGAAAATTATCAAAACACTAACCTCATCTAAAAGTCTCTGGCAATGGTCCTACAACCAAGCAGCAAATTTATACAGATAGATAGATTAGATATAGATAAGATTGATTGATTTTAAGTCTATTCAAGAAAAACAAGCAGCAGTGAGTCCTCCATGAAGGATGCGGGAGCACTGCAGACAGCCCAACATATCCCCTCTCCGCCCCCTAGCAAAGGGCAGTGTCCTCCTCACTCAGCTGCCCTGCTCAGAGGAAAGCCCAGGGGGAGCCTGGAGTCTCCACTGACTCCTCCTTTCACCTAGCCCCGGCCCCACAGCCCCACGATACATGCTGTGTCTTGTAGGGAACACGATGAAAACGTGCTCCACATGACCTCTGACCTGGCTCATCTACAGTTCATAAGTTGGAAGTTTAACACCAGGAGCAACAGGCCAAGACCTGACACCAGTGCTGTCCCAACACTGAGCACTCAGCTTTCAGCCGAGAAACGCATCATTATCTCAACTGTAAAAGTTAGAAATCTCTCCCCAAAGAACAGACTTAATTTGCAACAAAGTATGAAATAGTTCAAATCCAGGAGTGTTCTCAAAAACAAACAAAAAAACAAAACAAAACAAAAAAAACAGGGGGAGTGTTGCAATTTCCAGTGGGAGGAGACTAACAAATGCACTGGAGACAGACTACTCTGGGCTGGCCAGGTGGCCATAGCCAGGACAGAGACCCCGCCAGGAGATTCTTAGGAAAGACCAACTAAGTGAACAAACTTAGCTACAGATCAAGCAGCACTCAAATTTCTAGAATCACAAACGGAAAAGGGTGAATCACTATCGATTTTGAACCAAAAAGCTTATAAAGAAGCACTATGAACAATTCCATGACAGACACAGAGGTAACATCTAGATAAATTCAGGCTAGAGCAGTAGTGGCTCAGACTGACTAGTCCTGTTACGAGTGCCAGCATCCCATGTGGGCACCTATTTACATCCTCACTGTTCCACTTCTGATCCAGCTCTCTGCTTATGGCACTGGAAAGCAGTGGAAGCTGATTCAAGTGCACCCACATGAGAGACCTGGAAGAAGCTCTTGGCCCAGCTTGGGATTAGCTCAGCTCTGGCCACTGTGGCTGTGAGGAGTGAACCGGCAGATGGAAGACCTCTCTCCCTGTCTCTCTCCTCTCTGTAAAATTTGTCTTTCAAATTAAAATAAATAACTCTTTAAAGTTCATTTTTAAATGGACAAGTTCCTAGAAAAACACAAAAATACTTAAACTGACTCAAAAACAAGTACTCCAGCAGAAGAGACCGAGTGAATAAGCCAAACTTCCCACAGGAAAAGCTCAGAAGCAGACAGCTTTACTGGTGAGCTCCACAAAACATCTGAAGAGTAACACCAGTTCTTCACAAATTCCAACCAAAAAGAATACTTACCACAATATGGAAATGATAGCCTTACCCACTTTCCTGTTGCCCTTGAACCTTTTTACCCTAACTATGTAAAGATTATCAAAATTTTTTTTTAAAAAAGGAAAAGTTAAAAAAAAGAATACATAACAATCATTTCATAAAGCCAATATAACCTTTACCAAAACCAAACAGACATTACAAGAGCGAACTGCAAACCAATGGCTGTTATGGCTATGGATGTAAAAAGTGTAAACAAAAATACTAGTAAGCTAAATCTAACAACAGATTAAAAAAAAAAAACATTATACGGGGACATTTCAAGAACTTCATGGGAAAAAAAAACAGGATTAAAAGACAGGTTTACTCGGTCACAGAATTCTGAAATCCATACATAGCTTTTCCCTGAAAATTAGCAAATCCCAGGGCCAGTGTTGTGGTACTGTGAATAAAGTGACTTATATGGCTTCCTATGTGGGTGTCAACTTGTGTCCCAGCTGTTCCCTGCTGATCCAGCCCTCTGTGAACAGCCTGGGGAAAGCAGTGTAAGATGGCTCAAGTGACTCGCCTCTTGTCACCCAAACCAGAGACCTGGAGGAGGGTCCTGGCTGGCCATGACAGCCATCTCCGTCTCTCTGACTCTCTCTATATTTTCCCTTTTCCCCAAAAGCAGTGTAATCATCACAACAAATGCAGACAACCATCTGAAATAACCTGATATTTTTTCATGGTAAAACTATTCAATAATATAAGAACACAACTTAAAGTGAAAGTCTAGATGCTTCTCTCCTCAATGATCGGAAATAAACAAAAAAAAAAGCTATGTACTTGTGTCACTTCTACTCAATAGCTAGTGTTCAGGAGTTCCAGAGAGCAGTCAAGCAAGAAAAACAGATCTAGTCCATAACAGAGAGAAACAAAACTATTCATAGACATCATAATCTTGCAAAACTTACAGTGCACAAAATCAATATGTAAAAATCAATGCGTATCTGTACACTTCAAATGAACAATCAGGTTCCAATTACAATCAAGTGTCTATTACAAAAGTATCAAAGAACACAGCAATAAATTTAAGAAAAGACTGAATCTTATATTCTGACAATGACAAGACATACATGAACCAAATTTGAGATCTAAAAAAAATACTATGAGCACGACTCAAAATTAAATACTGTTAAATATGTTAATATTCTGCATACTGATCTATAAATAAATGTAACTTCTGGGGCTGCATAGAAGCAGAGCAAGTTAATCCTCCTGCTGCAGTGCCAGCATCCCATATGGCCATTGGTTCTAGTCCGAGCTGCTCCACTTCCCATCCACCTCCCTGCTTGTGGTCTGGGAAGGCAGTATGGATGACGGCTCAAATCCTTGGGCCCCTGCACCCATGTGGGAGTCCTAGAAGGAGCTCCTGACTCCTGGCTTCAGATGGGCTCAGCTTCAGCCACTGTTACCATTTTGGGAGGCCCAGAAGGGGCTCCCGGCTTCAGATGGGCTCAGTTCCGGTCGCTGTGGCCACTTGGGGAGTGGGCCAGCAGATGAGCTCTCCCTGTGTGTCCATACTCTCTGTAAATGTATCTTTCAAATAAAAACAAATAACTATTCCTTAAAAAAAATGGCAATTTCTATCCGAGTCCCATAGTCCCATTTGTAGAAACTTGACAGTTTGATTCAGGAATTCACACAAAACCGTAGCCAGATCAATTTTTGACAAATAACAAAGACAGAGGAATCAATTTCTGCTTTCATAAATTACTACAATATCAAATTAAGTAATCAAGACAGTGTGACACTCAAATATAGGTGGATATGAATAAGACTGAGAGAGTTCAGAAATAACACATGGACTGTGGTTCTTTAGGAAAGCTGCCAAGTACCTTTAATGGGGTAAGGATAGTCTTTCAACGAAAGGTGCTGGACAAACCCTTACCTCACACCAAATGCTATGATTTGAATGCTGTTTGTGTCCCAAAGGTTCATGTGCTGAAAGCTCGGTGTCCAGCATGACGATGTAGAGGTCATGGAACCCTCAAGAGGTGGAGCCTAATGCAGGGAATCAGGTCACTGGGGGGAGGTTTGGTGGAGGTGCTGTCCTCAGAAGGGATTAATGCTGGTTTTGTAGAACGAGTTAATTCTTGCAAGAGTGGGGTTGTTATAAAGCAAGGTCTTCCCATGTACTTGGCCAGTCTGCCATGGACTAGCTCATTTTGTACTTTCAGTCTCCAAAGTTGAGCAACTAAATGACCTCTTTTAATTGACCTGGCTTCAGGTACTTTGCTACAGCACCAAAAATTAACTAATGTACCGCAACCAAAAATTAGTCCCAAACTGAAATATCTAAATGTAAGAACAAAAATTGTAAAACTCTCAAACAAAAACTAGAACTGCTCATCGCCTGAGTTTTGGTAATGGATTGCTAATATGATACCAAAAGCAGCAGTAAGCAAAGGGAGAAAAACTGACAAAAACAAACAAAAAACACACAAAAAAAACAGAACTTCAATAAAGCAAAAGATACTACCAAAACAGCATATAAATACAATCCACCCAATGGGACACAATTATTAAGTCACATATATAACTAAGGGACTTGGGCCCAGCGCCGTGGCCTAGTGGCTAAAGTCCTCGCCTTGAATGCCCTGGGATCCCATATGGGCGCCGGTTCTAATCCCGGCAGCTCCACTTCCCTTCCAGCTCCCTGCCTGTGGCCTGGGAAAGCAGTCGAGGACGGCCCAAAGCTTTGGGAACCTGCACCCGCGTGGAAGACCCGGAAGAGTCTCCTGGCTTCGGATCAGCATAGCATCGGCCGTTGCGCTCACTTGGGGAGTGAATCATCGGATGGAAGATCTTCCTCTCTGTCTCTCCTCTCTGTATATCTGCCTCTCCAATAAAAAATAAAATAAATCTTTTAAAAAATGCACATTTGTTTTTGAATATCTGTGGGCTGCAGTAGTAGGCTGAGAAATGAGACTCCTACCACTTTTCACTCTTTACACGGCCACAACAGAGCCTGGCTAGGCTAGGGGGTAAGATCTTTCTCTGGCCTATCCCATGGTGGCAAGCACCCAACTACTTGACTCGTTGCTGGCTACAGCCTCATGGGATCAGCATCAGTCAGCTGCTGCAGTCAGGTGTCCAGTGATGTGGCATAGGAGGCCAGTTTGAGCCTAGATGTTCCACTTTGATCCACTTTTCTGTTAATGAGCCTAGAAAGGCAACAGCAGATGGCTCAAGCAACTGTAACCTGCCTCTCATGTGGAAGTCCTGGATGGAGTTCCTGACCCTGGCCTGGCCCAGCCCTAAGCACTGCAGCCATCTGAAGAGTGAACCAGTACTCTGTCTTATCCTCTGTATTTGTAACTTTGCCTCTGCAATAAATAAATAAACCTCATACACACTCAAACTCTCTCTCCCTTTCTCTCTCTCTTTAGCCAGGAGTGGAGTCACAGGTACTCCTATGAAGGGGCACAGGCATTTTCACCAGCATCTTCTCTGTTATGGCCAATGCTCATCCCTGATGTGTGAGTTTCATGTCAACAAAAATTTGGGGAAATTTACATAATAAATGATAAAAGGAAGCTGTTAATAAGATAGCATCAGGTACAAGGTAGAGGACCAGTCCAATCCCATTCCAAGAAGCCCAACGTGATTTCCTCATAATTCATCTCAACTCCTGGGTGGTCATCAAGGAAGCTGAGTGGGGTCCAGGGACCAAGGGACTCTGGGATGCCTGCCAAAAAGACAGAGGATGGAAAGAGGGAGGGAGAAAGGAAGATGTAGAGAGAGAAAAAAAGAGGGATAGAAGAAGGAATGAAGGAAGGAAGGGAGAGAGAAAGATAGGAAGAGAGGGAGAGATGGAGGGAGGGATGGAGGGAGGGAGGGAGGAAGGGAGGGAGGGAGGGAAGAAGCTGAAGACAGAGCATTTACCTGCCTTCCCCTTCCCTGCAGTTGGGACAGGAACATGCAACTCTTCGGAGCCTCTTGCCAGGCTGCACCTCCTGATCAGAAGCTGGCTGGCCTTGCTGCAAATGCACTTGTGTGAGTTGGTCAGGACTAACAGCACCTATCGTTGCATTAGCAATTCCTCCCACTGCTACGGTGACAGGAGCTATAGTAGCTTGCTGGACTTTTACTCCATCTTGTCCTTGCTGCTGACCTAAAAAGAGAAGAAAAAAAAAATCAAAATACAGGAGAGAACTATCATGTTTTCTATTCTTTAAATTTCATTTCTTTAAATGATATTAAAAAATCCTTGTGGACATTTCAAAAGTAATGAATTTTTTTTTCTAATAATTAGTATATAGTACAGAAGCAAATGGTTTAACAACTAGACCAATCCTCCTAAAATAAAACTTTCTTAATTAGGAGCTCAGATTGCCTCTTTCTCTAGCTGAGGAGACTGCACATCAATCTATAACTCTCTTTGTGGCTCAGTTTCTCTTTCTCTCCGTAAAATGCCACTCATTCACCGCCCTGAGACACTGTGAGCCTTCCCATCTACTTGAAAAGCACTCCCAAATCCTTAGATATAAGCTGCTATGTGGAAACAAAACATTATTACCACTTCCACAGTGAGTAAGTATCTCATGCCAAAAAACAGTTTTTTTAGTATATACACAATTAGGTGACTATTGAAGTGCAACACACTTACAATTAGGGCTTACTACAATTTGACTTAGGATATGCCTACTAAAGTACAAAGACAGGATATTACTCCTTTATTTACTTATATGCTTAAATTTCATCTGTCTGCTTTTAAAAACTTGGCTTCATTAAATATGGTAAATAACATTAATCATGCACAATATAACCAAAAAATTCTTATTTGCAATGGCTCAATTCTAGCCTGATTTATAGACAAGTTCCCTTAATCATCACCCTTTCTTATTTTTTTTTAAAGATGTACTTATTTTTATTAGAAAGTCAGATTTACAGAGATAGGAGAGACAGAGAGAAAAGATCTTCCATCTGCTGGTTCACTCCCCAAGTGGCTGTAACAGCCAGAGCTGAGCTGATCTGAATTCAGTAGCCAGGAGCTTCTTCCTAGTCTCTGACGTGGGTGCAAGAATCCAAAGCTCTGGGCAGTCCTTGACTGCTTCCCAGGCCACAAGCAGGGAGCTGAATGGGCAGTGGAACAGTTGGAATTCGAACCGGCACCCATATGTGATCCTGGAGCATGCAAGCTGATGACTTTAGCCACTACAGCCAGGTTTGGACCAGGCAAAGCCAGGAGTTTGGAGTTTCATCTATGTCTTCCACATGGGTGGCAGTGGCCCATGAACTTTAACCATTTTCTGTCACTTTCTGAGATGCACTAGCAGAGCAGGGGACCTGAACTTGCAGTTTGATAAGGGATGCTAGGACATCTTATGTGGCAAGGACAGCCTAACACACCATATCAGGACTACGGCCTCCCACTCTTTCATGTGATTCTCCAGTCCTTCCAATAGATGTGAGAATAACAAGTATGAGAACGAGCTAAAAAGAAAATACCAATTTTTGAAGGCATGTTCCATTTCAGAGACTTGAGGTAAGGATTCAGTAAGCCAATCTCACAAAGCCCTTTTCATGCTAACTACTTTTACCATTAGTCTCTAACGAGTTGAGTAGCAATACAATAGTAAGATATGCTAGCAGAAGCATGAGAGTCCTGAGGACAAAGGATACGAGGATCTATTTGACAGTTGCACGTGTTAGTACTTTCAACACATGGAGCAACCCAGAGAAGACAGTCAAAATTACCAAGTGTAGAGACCAGCACATTCTCTATCCCACCCCAAACCAAATACACTCTCCTCTGCCTCCAGAGGACTCTGAGCCCTCTGGTCGCAGCCAGCCACAACTAAAACACATCGGAGCTGTGCCTGGGCTTCCACGCAGACTGGTTCTAGGATACCCACAAACACCAAAATCCATGCAGATTCGAATCTGTCACACAAAACGATGTAGCATTTGCATTTAACTTTTAACAAACCCTTGGATTCGTTACAATGCTACATTAACACTCCTTATGAGGTACTGTTTAGGGAGTAACAACAAGGAGCAAAAAATCTGCATATACGCTCAGTAGACATGAGTTTTTTTCCCCCAAAATACTTTCCATTGAGTCCCTGAATGTGAATCAGGAACTATAGAGGTCAACTATGTCTGTTGTTACTGTTTCAACAAAAGCAATGCCTGGCTTCCTAGAGGAAGATGAGTAGACTTCAGTAGACTGAAGTTCACATTTTCATTCACACGTAAGAACATGGTGTCGCAAGGCAATCAATGCAAGCAAAGCCAGAGGTTGTAACGTAAGGACTGTGCGTTTTCTGCACCTCTACATACTGACCGCCCTCAGATCCAATTGAGTTGTTTCTAAACATCAGGCTGACTTTCCACGGCAGAGGCTTTACAAAGCAGTATGTCAATGCAATGCATAATCATATCAGTGTGTGTTTTCGAGGACATGCAGATTTGACAGTAAACTACATCCTACAAGGATGACTTGGCTAAGCAAACTATTCAGTGACCCTGGAAGCACTGGGAGGAATAAAAAAAAATTAAAAAAACCCATTTCTGGCAAGTAGAGCCTATGTAAGGAGTCGTACAAAAAGTCTCCACGGCACAGTTCCTACAGACGTATGGGTACATTATTAGTATTTTTCCATCCCTTAATGCCATGAGCTATTTCTGGCCACACTTTTTCCAGCTATTGTTCGTGTAGCAGTCTGCCATTCCTCTCAGACTGGACCCATAATCAGATGACATTCCTTATGCTAATGAGCTCCTGGAGATCTCTGATGCTGCAAGATCCACTGATAGGTTCCTCAAGCCTCTGGTTGTGACAACTGATTTGTCCAACACCTAAACAATGCAGCAAGTTACTTCAGTGATTATTAGGCAAATCACATTTGGATTAATATATTTAAGTCTAGGGCTGACACTGTAGCATAGTGCGCAGGCACTGGCTGCAACGCGAGCATTTCAGGAGAGCACCAGTTTGCAACCTGGCTGCAGCACTTCCTATCCAGCTCCCTACTGATGCGCCTGGGGACACAGTGGAGGATGGCCCGAGTGCTGCCACCTATGTGGGAGACCTGGACAACGTTCCAGGCTCATGGCTTTGGCTTCCCACAGGCCTGACTGTTGAGGTCATTTGGGTAATGAACCGGTGGATAACGGATTTGTCTCTCCTTCTTCCTGATTCTGCCTCTCAAATAAACAAATGCATCTTTAATATACATTCATACATATATACACATACATATATACATACACATAAAGCTTGGTAACCCTGACTTCCTCACCTAGATATCCCATAGACAGCTTAAGTTCAATAAACTACTAGTTTCACTTCCATAACCACCTTAGCACACCAAACTGTACATGAAAACCTTCAAGGCATGCCTGTGCTTACCTCTACTTCCCTATCCCACCTCACCTCTTAGTCTCTCGCTGCACCCTTGGTCCTTCCTCGGGTCCACCAAGCTCATTTCCTTCTTTCCTTGGGGCTTTTGCCCATGCCACCCAGCCTTGGTAAGCATGCATTTGCCCTCAGACCTTCACACAGCTGACTCCTATGTGGTGTTCTGCCCTCAGGTCCATTCTTGACCACACCAAGTGGCTCCTCTCTGCCCACCTTTGTATCGCCACCCAGGTTCATCTTGCTAGTTTTGAACTACTTTGCTGTTTCCTGTGTCTAATCCATCTTCACATCCCTTCTTTATGTTAACCATCATGAAAGCACAAGTATTTACTACATTCACTGCTTTCCGGTGGGCATCTGGAACAATGTCCAACACACAGTTGCCACTGTTACACAGCCTTAATGGGGTATGCGTAACATGCAAAGTACGTTCCTGCTTTCTCAGATGCTGTTCCCAATCTCCTTATTACCCATGCCTAAAATCCTCTATGCCTATTACATCCCACAAATGTTAAGTTATAAAGGTATATGTCTGTTTCACCTCTTGCATCAATTTTTTTATTGCCAAAACTACCATGTTATGCCAGGTTCCCGTCACTTCCCACCTCTACTGGCCTACATGGACCCTTCTGTCCAAATGCATCCTTCCAATTGCTGCCAGAAACATCAGAACACTCTGGTAGGGCATCCACTCCCATGCTCCACAACTCTCAGTCACTCCTCGAATGATCACAGCCTGCTATTCCAAAACTGCACCAAACGAACTTAACTCCTGCTGCACAGGCTGGCCCTTTGTAAATAATCTGCATATTTCTTTGAGAAGTGCAACGAGAGAGAAAAGGGACAGACACTTGGAAACAGACACGCTCCTATCCCTAAACTTCCCTCAGCAGCTGTGACTGGACCAGGCTGAAGCTGTGGTCAGAGAACTCAATCCAGGTCTCCATGTGGGTGTCAGGGACCCAATTACTTAAACCATCAATGCTACCTCAAGGGAAGCTGGGGTCAAGAACTGGGGTCACGGTATCCCAAATGGCTACCACCCAAACCTCTGCACAGCCAAGCCAGCGTGCACTTTCTCCAGGAGCACTGTAGGAGTGCTCTGCTGCAAAGGACATCACTGACTACTCCCTCCTGGAGAAAACGTGACTCTGAGCTAACCTGTTACATCCTCAGTAGCCCATTCACTAAGAAAATTGATCTATACTAGCTTCCTTTACTTACCAATTCCCCTCCCCTACTCAAAACTCCTAAAATTAGGCTGCCACCCCATCATGCTGCTGAATATGACACAGGTTACTAATGATTCTTGGCAGATAAATCCAGAGGTATTCTTTCTTGATCTTTCTCCCAACACTTTGGAGCCCCTGAGCTGCCAACCCCACACTCTCTTCTTGAAATGTACATCCTTTCAGTGGTTCACTGACCAATGGTTTTCAGGTAGCCCTGCTTCTCAGCCCTCCCCCAGCAAGACCACTGCCACTCCTCTCTCCCTCTGCACTTCCCATTTGCAGATCGTCTGCACATCTCCTAGGGAACATTTCCATCCAGATTCTCACACGCAATCTAACACACCTAACCTAAGTTCTTTCTCACTGTCCACCTGCTTCACTCCTGTCCACCCCTTGCATCCTCCACAACAACAGCACTTACTGTTGCATACTTACAAAGTGATCAGGCATTTTACTGACATTTTTAGACCTATGATTTTATCCACTTTCTTATGGAATGGGTCCTACCCCTACCCA